AACATGCTGGAGTGGAGGCAGAGTTCCCCTTTTCTGGACACTCCTTGTGTAGGTGGCCGCCTCCGCACCACAAACAACGTGGCGGTTGCGTGCAGTTTGCCCAAACGTGGCCGAACTGCTGGCAGTTGTACCACTGCGTGAGCCCGCTTTGTGCTTTGTACGCCTCTACCTTGATGGCAATGTGGCAGAGGTTGGTTAATCGGAAGAGTTCTTAGGACTTCTCCGTTCTAGGTAGTGTGACAAGGAACAAGGGAAGGTTAATGTTATTTGTTCCTTCTGGAGGAGTCCGACGACTGGTTGTCATTTGTTTGACGATAATGACGTCAAACCCCAGACTCACCAGACCGTCAGAGATATATTCAGCTAGAGTATTTTGTGAAAGGTGACGGATAACAGCTTTGATGGGTTTCTCAGACTTGGGATAGTAGGTAAAGTATGAGAGATTGTTACTCTCTAGGAATTTTTTGATGGCTGAGAAGTCCCGCCATTTCCTTCGTGACAATTCTAGTCCCGCTCCTGGTGTTGCGTAACTCAAAATTGCCCGTGATTCGGTCCTTGACCTTCCTCTGCAACTGCATCAGGTTTGCAGTAGAGGTCAGTACAATGGGAGGCGGCCTACCTGACTTGTCCGATGGGTGCTGTTCTCCCGACTTGTTGGCTGTCTCCTCCACGTCCATTCCTGATGTCCTCAGGGGCGCAAAGAAGTTATATGAAACGGAAGCAGCAACATCTAGCTATATAGCTTAGATACACTACCCACGCAAAGCGTACGAGTTGAGTGCGATGCCTACACAAATAAATTATATTGACTGAAATGATTACTCTTCTTATACCCAAGTTTTAAAGGTAACCAATCAAGCTAAGTTAAGGGTGGCGACATCGTTTGAAATCAACAGTTCGAAAAAGCTGGCGGCTTCAAGCAGAGTCCATCAAGAGGGTCGAGAGTCTTCACCTAATTCTAATGCAATACAAAGGGAAACTGCTTCGCTCTATGGCTCTGTGGTACGCAACTAAATTATGTATCGTTAAGACTCAAATTGAGGTCAGCCTATAAGGACTGACAGCGTAAAAAAGTAGCAACCAGTGCTATCGTTGTTGATATATAATATTAAAGTGAAACTTGTGGCGCCATGAGACATATATCTGTAATCCAGTCAGTACACATTATAAAACTAATAGTTCTTTGTAACTGTGTTGTGTAATCGAAGTGAACGTGTTCGACCGACTTGTCTAAGCAAGACTCGTTATGATCTGAGAAGTAATCTCACGCCTATCCCACTGACTACCACCGGCTTTTACCTTTCACCCCAAACACAGTAAATTTTGTAAATATATCTTGTTTACTGATGGGACGGGCTGATCCCCAGTCCAAGGAGTCCTACCGATTGTGTGTAGCGGCGAAGGCCCAACAAAAGGCTGTAGAGCCTTTATAATTGTAGTAATAATAATACTCTTGCTTACTGGCGCCCATGAATAACTCCTGTTCCCTAGTCCTACCACCTGCAGCCGAAGAATCGAAGTAAAGGGAAAGTGATTAACCCTTAACAGTGTTAACAGACTCCGAATGTAGTTCAGTTACAAAATGCCTCTGATCGGGTGGCTAGACCCGCTACAACCACATACTTTAGGAAACCCCGTTATATTATTTCAGTCATTTTCCGAACTACGTTCATTATATACTATGAAATAAAAAAATAATGCAGTGTCCATCAACCTGTGGGCCGCGATGATGGGACAGGTGGTCCGCAAGCAGACTTAAGTTAAATTAACTTAAAATTATTCAGACAAAACAGATTAAGAAGAAAGCAGTCTTCTGGGATTTGGCACCGTGTATATGTGGTGTTAACCGACGTTTCGGAGGAACGTATCGCCTCCATCTTCAGGGTAGAAGGAAAAATATAAGAAATCCGCAAGCGAAGAGACCGTGAGAACCGGTAAAAGCAGACTGCAGAAAAACTGATAATAAAAGAGGGGTGCAGTGAGCAACAAAATGGTTGTATGGCTTACAACCTCAAGCTGACATCTCCCATCTTCGGGATGAATCAACAAGGAGGAGCTTAACATTTTACATCAAATGTTTTAAATTTTTAAATATTTTAACATTGACGTTTTTAACTTGAGGGAAGTTTCGGATGGAATGTGAGAATTGATAGTGCATTCAACAATCCTAGCAAGTGTTGTGCTTTTACACGTCGACATATTGTAGCAGCGTCCACGCAGCAAACATAACTGTGTACATCTTAAACAACGACAGTGTTTTCATGATTATACTATGTGCCTCTGATGATGGTTGTATTAAACCGAAACATGTAAGGCAGAAGTGATAAAGCAGTGACCTACAAATTGTTACACTGGATGAACTTTCTATCGACTTTGTGAAAAATCATACACTTTGATGTGTTAATGATGAAGTCTTGATTTTAGTTTTTGCAGGCATAATTGTAATTTTGTTAGTGAAAGATATAAATTAAATTTTGGTATTGCGTGTAATTTTCATTATATTCTTCACAGAACTTCAGAAAGTAGATGACTTGAGTACAACTTCTGAACTTTGCTTGTAATACCTTCAGTCACCTCCCTTTCCAAGTAACTGACAGTTTCTTATGCTTTCAAATGCCCTTTATAAATAAAAAGATCTAATAGGACTCAAAATCACGCATGTGCAAGAATAAAATTTTCAGTTCATAAGAAAAGAATTTGGAAAAATTTTGAAAATCAAGATTATAATTTTCTCTAGTACACAAATCTTTCAGTGTAATAATTTGTAATACCTTTCACATTTTCACACTGCACCAAGTGCACCAATGCATTTACCTGAATGCAAGATGACACCATAGTATGAAATATACATGCACAGATAAAAATAATTTTGTTAATTCATTTCATAATGTTGCTATAAACATGTGGAAGAAAATAAATATCAGGAAGCATGTTATGCAAGGTTGGGCAAATAATTTTCAAGACTCATTTTTAATTATGCACCTGTCTATTTGGCAATGCTGTTACTTCGAAGTTTGTTAACAGGTACAAATGGAGCGTATGATGAAACAGAGTGAATGTGAATTTTTAATTAAACGGCGGCAATAGCCAAGTGAAACATTAGAGATGTTGAAAACAGTTTATGGTAAATCCCTAGCCCAAAGAACTCATGGATGTTGAAGTCCAAGATCAAAACAATGTTGATCTGCTTTTTCAACATCAGGAGTCATCATCCACTTTGAATTTGTACCCCAAGGGAGCACTATCATTCTTATTGATGCTGAGGCACAAGCGAGGATAGCTGTGAACAGGTAGCTCACCAATTCTTCACCAGAAGGCACTGGCACACTTCATTTTGAGTGTCGCAGTTTCTAGCAGGAAAAGACATTTGTCATAGATTATCAGCCGTACTCTCCTTACTTGGCTTTAGCTGACTTGTGCGTTCCCAACGTCCTGCTATCCTCTCATCCAGTATACACCTTTTAAATCCTCTCACCATCACTTTTGAAGAGATCCAGGTACGACAATAAGGTCAGAGTTCATTGTATGAATCACAGATCTGGCATACAGTGTTAAATGACCTTCATATGAATCCAACACTAATCTTGGTCTCCTGTTCCAGACGTGTAACCCATCCTTCATAAATTCATTGTTATCCACAAGACTAAGCCCATTGGCAGCTTCATCTTACAAACAGTTCATTTGATTCACAATCACACGTGGTAGTTTTGTGCTGTCTGCCAACTTGGTCAACACTGGTCACTTGCATCTTTTCACTGATTGATGTTTTAATGAAAATAGATTTTGCATATCCATCACTGAAGGTGTAATTGGGTGGTATATCAAAATACATTAGTACTTGATCAACAGTATATCAAAAGTGTGATGGTTAAGTTCTTGCAAAGCGCAGACCTTTGCTACGAAGAAAACCTGTTCCTCCACATCATTTGTACACACCGCCCTCAGTAGGACTTAAAATTTCAGCTTGTCATTGAGTAATGATGCTTCTCGAGACTGACATTCCATTCTTTATTTGAATCCATACAAATGGCAATTTTCATGTAGAATTGACAAGTTTCTGTTGTTTCCACCTTCAGACGTGTGCCTCAGGAGACACTGTACTTCCTGCTATTTCATAGTTTATTTTGTATGTCTAATCACCACATTCTTACGAGTATAGACTGTAACTGGAGCATCTGACAATTTTTGACACACTATTGCTTTCACACTTACTGTTCTTGAGATGACCAGCTGTTTATGTTGAGCAACACTTAGGTTAGAACAGCATCGTGATATTGCACATCAGTGAATTACTTTTTTTTTTTTTTGTGGCATAACTTTGGTTATATTTCAGGCAACCTCATGGCAGCTCATGGAGTCTGACCACAAAATATATCTGCCTCTCTCGCTTTCAACTATCATACAGTACGACAGTGAGAGATGTGATGTGCTGTGCTGTGCTATGAATAAGCCAAAAGGTTTAAGAGATTAAGAACATCTTTAGTAAGTCCTTCTAAAATGACCCCGATGAACAAAGGAAAAGAAGCTAAGAGAGAATTCTCTGAATTTGAGAATAAAAAAATTAACACTCAAATGAAATTTTTTCTCAACCTGATCTAACACAAGTATGAGCCCACTCAAAACCACTGCTACAGATCTTTCAATAAGAGGCAACCTTTAATGCCAAGTCTTGTGATGCCCTGCAGCAAAATGTTATCTAGTGTAAGAAATCTTGATAACACAGGACACCATGTCCCTAAGTATGACTGCTATATTTGCAAAAGGTCAAAAGTTATGCTGAAATCACTAGTTTTTGAGACAATACACCATTTTTAATCAGCCCAAATATGACATGCTGAACATTATGAGGGGCTTGGTGTGGTTTGTTCAGATTTCTAATTTGGTGTACCTGCAATTGAAACACCGTCAGAACTGCGTCATTCATGGATTGCCTTTCTTAATGGCTGATATTTGGGAAGTACTTGCTTGGAAGAGTAAAAAAGGTAATAATGTAACATCTATTAAGAGTAACACAATAATTGTTCTTTTTTCTATTAACAGATCACTACAGCTACAAGTGAGGTACAATAACTGATTCCACATTTTCTTTAAATGACTTCATTTGACTCCAAAGCTACAATAGTAATAATGACAATGTTTTGTTTCCATTGTTGTATGTACTAAAATACAAAGAAGCCTATAATAGCTGGGAATTTCTGTACAATATACATCTTGTTTTGTTTAGAAACTATTCTCAGTTAAATTATGTACAACATTATTTACAAATTATTTCACAAAACTTACATTATTTTATATATATATATATTTATAATATAATCGATCAATAATAGAACTGTGATAATATAATGGTATCTTAAAAAAACTCCGGTGAAAACGCACATGCATCCATAGCCCCGACTTCTGACATTTGGCAGAGGATTAATTAAAAGTAAAAATGCACCAATTTCCCACAATGCCATTTGAATGAAGAAAAAACTCACTTTTATGTATATATATATATATATTAACATATGGTTGTGGTTTTACTTTACTAGTGTTCAATGAGTTCACACATATCAAGCATACATTCTCCCATACACACATATACAAAGGACGATGATGATGATAATCTGATGTGAGAAAACTGATCACAACTCGAGACTGGGAGGAATAATTTTCCAACCTTCAAAAGATTTAAAAAGACAGGACACATGGCTTTGCTTCAAACTTATCAGTTAAAATTATTTAACATTATCTTTGTAACTGTGCACACATTTTCACATTTCCCCTGTATATATATATATAAAATCTAATAGATTTAATTAATCAAAATTAAACCAACCATGCACAACTGATAGCTAATTACATATTTACCTAAACAACTTCCGTTTTCTATATACACATCACCACTTCTAGGGACTGGATCTTAATATTTTTTGTACAAAGTTTATATAATATAATTAATAATAATAATAATAATAATAATTATACATGTATACCAATACTCACAGCAAGGCTTTCAACAAAAACAAGCACAAGGATAGAAAAATCAACTCATTTCATATGCAGATAAAATATAATTATTTTATTAAAATTTCACGAAACTCTAAAAGAAATTTAAATTTGTGTATCATACTTTAAAACCATAAATTCAAAAATTTACATTCACACAAATATAAACCATTTATAAAAGTGCATGTCTCTGATGCATTTGCTATTAAAAACCAAATAAATTACTCCCAGAAACACACCTTTTCAACACTACAAGGAATAAAAGCTACTAGGTTAACTGTCTTTTTGGTATTAAATACTTATATTTTAAAGAAATTTCTTTGTTTCTTCTTGAACCAGTATGAAATAAGTACAGACTGTTCTATTCCCTGGTAAGCCATTTGTGTTCAGTGGAAAAATTAAACACAAATTACTGAAATCTAAGAAGGGGGTGAACAAGCTACATGAACACAGTAAACACAAAGTCTCATCCACAAATATGTAAATGTGCACACTCACAACATCTCTTCACCATGCATGCCATAAGTTAAGTTTCTTTCTCCAACAAATGAAAAATGTATATATACATATAAAATCTTTGATGTAATCCATCATAGAAAAAAACATCTTTATCGCACACGAACTCCAATATCTTGACAATCTTAACTCTCACTTCCATTCAACAGGGGAAAATAGTCTTAGGAAAACAAAATTTCTTAAAATTCAATCATGTGACTACTCTGTGTTGCTCTATGCATTCATACCACTATCGGAAAAATTAAATAAACGTAACTTGTACTGGCCATGATAATACACTAAGTATTCCACCAATCCTACATTAAAATGTTGAAAGAAAAATTTAACATCGTTATTGAAATATTCACTCTTGAACACAGAGATCTGATTACTCTGTAGATCCTCCTTCAAAATAAAACATGAACCTGTTCCCCCGCAATCATGTACATTCATCAGCAGAAAAAAAAACTCATCTAACATCTGTCAATCACAATGCAACAAGTAACACTTTTCTCTTATACAGTGATCTGTAAATATAATTCTTATGGCCAACTCAAAGACAGCACTGCCTACTTATTCTGAATCCAAATTCAAAAAAATGGACGAGTTAAATATGCCAGTTATCAAATGGTATGTTGTATACCATGAAGTTTATCCAAGTGATCTGGAATGAAGCCTATGTTGAGGTATAAGCAGAACATACACAACTTCCAATGCAGTCTTTCAACAGTATTCCTTACATACTGCTCTTCCTCCTTCAACTGTTATGCTCTAGAGCTCTGTCCTATATCTATAAGATTGTTCTGAACATGGTCCAGATGCATTCATAACTCAGATGTCTGCAAGCCATGGAGCTTTGCAGGCCAGTATCCATAAACACTTTTTTACCGCATTAAAATAAAATCCTACATCAAAGACTAAATCAATGAATAAACTGCTGTAATTAGTATTTTGTACATTGTCCAAGAACTTTCCATATAAATCACACTGGGATATAATAATTTGAGGTGATGATGTCTCTGATCTCTTTGCAACATGCATACCTTCAGTGTGCATTCAACACAAAGAGCCGCTGTAATAGATGTATTTATAATATATATCAATCTTTCCAATACAGGCCTGACCTTCCTACTTAATCCTGGTCCATGACAGTAAACTATAAAATTAATTTACTATTCTTACTTAATGGTACAAATAATTCATTGCAAATTGCAAAGATATGAGACAGTAATACACCTTAGACAAAGATATTAAAAAGCAACTGATATTTATGTTCCATCTGTAGTATGGCATCAAGAAGTTTCACCAGCACTTGTATTCACCACTTCCTACAAAAACTGCAAGTGTAGGGAAATTACTGTAAGTGGCTATCTCATCTAACATTACGAGACAGGCTAGAAAACTTAACTACATAACAGACATATTTTCTTATGGTTTGTTTTGGTACAATGTACTTCAAATTGTCCATTAAAATATACTGCATGCCCCGTATCACCTACATACGAAGGATAGGAATACTGTGGGGAAATAAAATCTAAGGATAACAAGTAGATGGTTGTTCAGTTCTATAAAATTTCTGAGAAAATAAAATTTCAATGAGCAACAAATTAAATAGTGGCTCATGCTACAGTTCACTGTGTACCTGCTTGTGTACCATTTCACTCTGCTACAACCAGACAGCAAAAATTCCAAAATATCTGAAAGAAACACCACCTTCATGGTCAGCTATGCTACTCTCTCTGGTTGATGACATGACTTCCAAGGCCTAATACATACCACCTCACAACGATTTTTAAAATCCCTGAAAAATTCAAAAGGCACTTTAACCCAAGAATTTCCATTTCCAACACCTGAGTTCATCTCAATCCTTGACTGTGCCAGTGTTACCCTCTCCAAATTTCATCATGCTTGCTTTGTAAGGTAAAAGTGTAAAATGATCAAAATTACAGTTGAAAACAAATTTTAATAAGAAAGCAATGAAATTATATATCCATTATTGTACTGTTCTTTATGTATTCTCTTATGAACAATATTTCTCATGGTACCACAAATGAAATGTACACAGATACTGTAGTTTTAATCAGCCAACTTGAAGTAACATTTATTCTTATAATCAACAATGTAATTGTTACTGAACATTTGGCAACAGCCTTCTATGGTACTCTTTAACCACTTATCTATATTATTCACAAAAGGGACAGAAGTAGGGACATTTGCAAATTTCATTATGGTATGCGTGGCCTCAAATGCTATCACAAATAAAATGAACTGATTTGTCATCTGGTAGTTATGCAACTCCACATGCTTCATCCTGCACAACATTCACTTCTTGTTTTTCTTGGTCTTGCTGTAGGTTGTGCCAACCAGCAATAGCGTGTGGTCACTTCCCGTCACGGGATGCTCTCCTTCGTTTGCTTGATGCTCCATCTAGCTCTGAAGCGACAAAGTTTAACATGAACAGAGACGCAGATATTAAGAGAAACAGTTTATTTCTTTCCCCACAACACATAATATAGTACTTCTGTAAATGCAGATAAGACAGAGGACAAAATTATAGTGGCTTTTAGGCCACTATTATTTGAATTCTCTTAGTTAATGATCCTCTACTTTCTGCTCATTACTTTAACCTTACATGGTATTTTGTTCACTGTGAAAAGCGATTAATATGGGGCTGTAACTAATGAAGGTTCACTGCTGCTTTAATCACAACATAAACTAATCAGAATCTGTCAGTTTTCTGTTACACTAGCTAGTAATTTAACATCCAGTACATTTATTCCCCTCTAAGAACAGTACAGTTAGTTACACATTAACCCATGTGTTCTCACACTGTGGGTCATGGACCCACCCTAAGGAGGGTTGCCAAGTTTTCAAGAATTAATTGAACTCTTGCTTACCCTTGGTAACCGAGAGATGTGGTGCAGATAATTAAAAGTAAAGGATAATCCAGAGATCTAGAAATACTCATTAGCCATGCTGCAGTCAACCCTGAAAACGACTTAATTACTACTGTGAACTAATCGTTTGAACTTACGTTTTTCTAGTTGTTTTACCAATGTGTTGAAACTTCACTGCATTTATATGAATTACACATCATGCTTAACAGAAATATATATAAGAACAAACATAAATAAAACTTGATGCACTTAAAAGTGGTGTGAAAATGATACATGTTTCTCTACCATTTTGTAAGTCTGTACAGAAGAAAATACACTTGACTAAACAATGCTGTACCAACTAAATGAGAGAGAGAGAGAGAGAGAGAGAGAGAGAGAGAGAGATGAAGAAAAACTGCACCAAATAAATCTACCATTAAATTCTGAGGGGGGGGGTCCATGTCTGTAACTATGCAGTTTAACTGAGCATATTTCCAACAGATAAAAATGTACATTTATTTTGTGGTAGAAGGACAGCATGAAAATAAATATAGTAATAAGACAGAAAGCTGCAACAGGGTTCGTACCTAAGTATCGTTGATACAATTCACTTATTTTGTGACAGTACAGCCTCATAGGGACCTCAGACAATTTGCAAAACTGCGACTTTTGCCAACAGGGAGAGAGTGGGGGGGGGCATCTTTTCCTGATGGGTGTCCATCTGGAATACAATCCTTTCTCAGCAGGTGTGCCAGTATCTGTTCCATCATCGTAGCATGGAACATGTAGCATAACTACACAATGAAATCTTCAATCCAATCCCACTTCTGACACCAGTTGTCATGTGTTTGAGTGAAAACAGGTTTTAGATTTGTAACTGGATTTACTGAAGTCTTACAGAATGTAACTACAAATAACCACAGAGCTAATGCTAATTCACGCACTTTGCAGTTCACTACAGCACATATGAAGTCTTCTCAGCCTGCTGTATTTCCACTGCCTGTCACCTGGTAACAGCTTCCAACGCTGAAGCTTCTTTAGCTTCTTACTGGCCCGCAACTGTCTCGCAACTCACTTATTGCTCCAACTGACTAACTTCCATGCTGGTGGCCATCTCACACCAACCTCCTACTCTTCTCACTGCTGCCTCAAGACTCTTGTAATCACAGCTCCTCCTCGTTGCATGGCTTTCGCACAGACCGCATAGAAACCACCTCTTACAACAGTTCTGTTGCTGTGTCACACAGTTATTGCACAGACAGCATAGAGGCTTCCAAATTACTACATTGTTGTGTGTTATGACCATGTTGTCCAGCAATGGGCGTGTTTGCAGAGCCGTTCCCTTACATCAGCTGTTTCTGCTGGCTTCACATTACTTGGGTCTAAATCTGTTACTCGCATACTAAGGAAGTTCTCTTCCCAATTTACTACGTTTTATGGTGTACCACAAAGCTCACCCTTGGGCCCCATTATTTAATATTCTTATTAATGACACATACAAGGGTTGAACATAATAAATGGAAGAATTACTGATTCTGTACACATTCCTTTATTAATATGACAATGAATCACTTTTTGCCTTCAACACAGCCACAATCCTCCTTGGAATGGACTTGTACACATTTTGAACAATCTCTAGTGAAATTTTATACCATTCTTCTTGAAGAACATCTTCAAGTTGCTTTAGAGATGTTGGATGTGGGAATATGTTCCTCACTCTAGTCTCCAAAACTGACCATAGTGGTTCAACGATGTTCAAAACTGGCGATTATACTGGCCAGGCAAGATGAAGTTCACCTTCATACTCTTCAAACCATGGCTGAACAGTTCCAGCTGTGTGGATGGGGACACTGTCATCTGTAAAACTGCATCACTGTTTGGAAATAACATCTGGATCATGAGATGTACCTGATTACCCAACCTGTCCACATATTCCCTTGCAGTAATTTGGCCATGCAGGGTAATAATAGGATCAACAGAATAGTGTACCTAGATACTGCTGCCCAAACCATCACAGAACCTCCCCCGTGTTTCACCGTTGGAACCAGGCATTCTGGACTGTAGGCTTCCTTGGGTGTTCTCCAAACATAAAACTCTTCCTGACATAGGGAACAGCGTGAAAGATGACTCATTTGACCATATCACGAGTGCGTTTCCAGTTGTCTAATGTCCAGGTTTTATGGTTATTGACACTATCGTTTACACATTAGAACACTACTTTCAGTAATCAGAGGTTTAGCAATTGCATCTCTACCATGCTGGGGACATGCTATAGTGTAGTTGGTTGAGGCACTATGCTACAAGCTGGAAGGTTGCAGGTTTGAGTCCCGATGAGGAGGATTCTTTTCAATTGACCTAATCCTTCCAGATGCAACTATGTCCCTGGGGATGACTGAGCCTCTAACAGAAATGAGTACCAGCAATATTCCTGGGGGGTAAAGAGTAGCCAGTGCGTAAGGCTGACAACATTACTGCCATCTGTGAGTTGACTGCCCAGAGAAAATGGGGGAGCTTCGACATCTCACAACCCTACGGGCCTTCACAGCCTGTTACAGGGACAGCTTTACATTTTTACCTTTATTACTGTTAACAATTCTGTTTAAATATGTATAATGTTAATTGGTATAGTTTTTTTTTGCATTTGATTTTGCCTGCATGTTTGTTTGTTTGTTTGTTCTTTCATACTTCTGCTCACTTTGTAACTGGGCCCTGGCTGCTGGAGTTCAGTACACATCCATAAGGAATCATCAATATCCTAATTATCATCACTGCTACTGCTGCTTCTATTACTTCACCTGCTTATGTTATTTTATGACTGGTGGTTTACCACCAATCAGTTCATCTTGGCGACAAGCCCCTGGAGTCTCACGACATAAAGATTTTTTTTTGCAGCTGAACCCTTGCGGTCATAATCCAACATCCTCTCTGATGAGAAGATGGGTTTGTCTCTTGTGAATACACTTCGCCTTTTGTGTAGTGTACGTATCACACATAACATGTTACCAAAAATTCTTCATTCTGCAGTATATACAAGTCTTCTGTCAGTTCAGGTTTTGAAAAGCAGATCATGCCTATCTTCCTTATCTTATGCTACAATGGCAGCCTGGTCACCTGAACAGTCATAAGCTTGACTGCCGCCTTGTCCTGTGCTGCAAACATGTTCATCCTCATGAGTTTCATGACTATTGCTTATTGCCTGCACAATTTTGTTATATAGTTGTATAAAAACATAAGGTTAAAAGCCATGTGCAAATCAGGGACCAGTGTGCCCCTTGGAAAAATTCCAACGGTGCGAAGAACCTTGCTTTGTAGGTGCTGCAATTTTAAAGGGCAGGTGCCTGCTGCTAATTCCCAGATGGGGCAAGCATAAGTCATTACTGATCTAAACAGTGACTTATGGAGCATCAGCACCTATGAGGTGAATAAGAAAGTTCCCGGATTAGGACAAGAAAGAAACATGTCTGAACTTACTCAATTTTGGCTGCCATCTCCTTAAAATAGTCTCCTTGGGAATGTATACAGCGAGCTCATCATTTTATTCCACACTTCAAAGCACTGTGGAAGTCATTTTCTTTAATGCTGTCAAGTACTGCTTGCGATTCCCTTTGGATGTCAGACACTGTTTCAGAACATCATCTCTTTAGTTCCATTTTCAATTTGGGAAACAAAGCAAAATCACAGAGGGCTAAGTCCCGCGAGTAGAGAGGATGGAGAACGATAACCTTGTTGCTGTTAATCACACACTGTGATTTTCAGTGATTTGTGGGTGGGCACATTGTTGTGATGAAGGTGCAAGTTGTGGCTGCACCAAAGTTCCAGTCCCTTTTCAAATTGGGATTGACAGATAAGCCAACTTGTGACAGGTGCCTAGAAGAATCAGCCACACATTTATGTAATTGGGAGGCCATGGGTTATTTTAAATTTTTCAGCTTGGCCAGTCCTTTATGGAACCAAGTGACTATTATGATGCAGCCATAAATAAAGTCCTACATTTCATTCAAAGTGTAGGATTAATAAAGGATTAATCAAAGGGGAGGCACATTAGATCACTGAAGGTCACAGTGCAAGGGCCAGATTTCATGGCCCACCCCTTATACATACAAAGTTCCAGTCTTTGTCATTGCACATTTTTTTCTCAAGCGTCTCAAAATGTCACAGTAAAAGTCAGAGTTAATCGTAGTGTTAGGAGGAAGAAATTCACGGCAAACAATCCCCTTCATATTGGGGGGGGGGCAAAGAAAACAATGGGCATGCTCTTTGTTGAACTCTGGACGTGCCGTGCCTGTTTTGCTCTTGGGCTTCCACTACGATGACTGTTGCTTTGTTTCTGGGTCATAGCCATAAGTCCAACTTTTGTCACCTGTTATTATCCTAGAGATAAAAGATGGGTCCTCGTTAGCTTTCTCTCATAGCTCAAGACACAAGTTTACACACCACTGCTTTTGATCCTCTGTCAAGAGTCAGGAACAAACTTCACCGAAAAGTGGCGCATGCTCAAATTTTCTGTCAAGATCTCCTGGCAAACTCCATAACTGATCCAACGGTGTCTGTGAGCTCATGGATTCTTTGGTGATGGTCTTTGTGGATGAGTCTTGAATTTTTTCAACATTTTCTCTTGTTTTGCTGGTGTCTGGTCATCCTGAATGTTTGTCATCTTCAACTGACATTCGACCACCCTTGAAATGTGAATGCCATTCAGAAACTGGTCTGACTTAAAGAATGTTCTCCAAGAGCCTCATGAAGCATTTCAAGGGTTTCGGTAGTGGATTTACTGAGCTTCATGCAAAACTTGATGCAGACAGTTTGCTCAATTTTGCCGTCCACTGCAGACAAACGAAACACGAAGCCGAAAAAGCACTCGTGTAAAAACAATGTGTGTTCACAGTGCAGTGTCATGCACCAGACTGGTGCAATAGGCTTGCATAAGTGTGACCTTGGCCACCCATCACCTTCTTTCACCGAGGCAGTTACAAAAATAACAGTCTGGGAACTTTCCAATACAACAAATAGTGAAGACATAGAAAACTTAGTTTTTATAGTAGTGATCTGTAGAGTGTGTAAAAAAAGTAAGTAAAGCTATCCCTGTAAGAGGCCATGAAGGCCCATAGGGTTGTGAGACGCTGAGGGTCCCACATCCCACAAAAGGGGAACCCAGAGCCTGGGGGTATAATCGGGCCACCCTGTTCCTGGGGGATATAAATATTGGGACCTGGCCCTCCAAGTTGGGGGAGTCTTGAATCTGAGATTGTAAAATGTGGTCATGGGACAGCTTTAGTGAGAATATATTATTGATAGCATAATACCACCTTTCCAAACCACACGATAAACCATGTTTCAAGAAGAGAATGGTTACATATCAGTAATTGTGATGACACTCTTTTTACGGTGTAAAGTAGTTCAAATGTCAATAACACTGCATGCTTCCCCAGACATTTCTACACACTCTGTGGACTTTAGTCCACAACTGAACTATACCGAGCGACTGCCACTTGTCAGCGAAGATTCTGCCAACTTTTATGGATAGATGGTGTTGTGTGGTCAGTGCAACAGATTCACACAGCAAATAAACTTTAATGGCCGAATGTTATATATATATGTATGTATGTGTGTGTGTGTGTATATATATATATATATATGCAGCAAGCAGCACCCCACGTTGGCCAAGTGTTATATTTATATGCGGCAGGACACGTGCTCTCTTTGGGAATGCTGACAGTTTGCTCTTGGGTTTGAAACCAAAACAAACCCACGTAAGGTCATGTCAGTGGTTCATTACTTAGCTCTTAGCAATGAAATCGTTTATAACGGTACTTATTTTGATATTATTTAAGTTTAGATATGTTTATGACCTGGTCAGCCAAATATTGCCCAGCTTTGTTTTGAGAACTGATGAGGAAATATTCATCGGTGCCTGCATATGAGTGCTTCCGGAGCCTTCAAGGAAGTGTGACATATTCAAGGATTGGTTTTCAGTGACGAATTATCAAGTAGGAGGTCAGTGTCGGATTGTCTAATATTTCTTTATCAGTTAAAAAGTCAGAGTCAGACTGTCATATATTTTTTTGTGTATCGTTTTTATTTTGTGTCTTGGAAGAGGTATAAACCCACTGAGCCAGTATTACTTTGCGAGTAAAAGGCATTTTCGCCACTGTGACTTTCGGTATCAGTGTCAGACTGGGAATCTTTTCGACAGGTTTTATAATTACTTTGCATCACTATTTTGCGAGTATTACTAACAGGTGAGCATGTCGCTTTGTCAATCAACATAATTTATTTCATTCTGCTGGAAACCCCCTCCCCCAAGATGATTCTTCAATCGCACAAGGCGAATATCTCGGTCAGTGGTGTTTCTCGAGGAAGGCCAAGGTTACTTGGGGCCCAACTGAGTCGACTGGAGGTGAAATATTCATAAGACTGGTCAACCAAAGGGAAACAAAGACGTTGTGTTTCACTAAATAAGAAAAGCAGGAGCATCATTTTCTATTGCAAAAAGTGTGATGTTCCGATGCATGTCAAGGACTGCTTCAAGAAGTGGCACGCACGTCAGAGTGTGAGGTAGTAAACTGTGAAGTGACACAGTTCAAACTCGCATATAGCCTGAACAAAATATTATTTACAATATCACCAGGTCTCAAAGTTGAAAAAAAAACTACAGGTTAGTCGTCTGGAATTTCATAACATAATAAAGATTATATTTTGCATTTCATGACAAAATAATCACAGTTAATTTTTGTTTGTAAAAATTGCTCTTTTGTGTATATGTAGAAAATTTTACTGTCATTCAGGTTGTTTTTAGTTCGTTTTTCTATTTTTCATAGAATGGAAAATATGTAGTTTTTCTGAAAGTTTGAAATGTTAATTAATTAGGGCGATTTAAATTCTGGCCACAGAGGGCTCCTGGCAATTTAAAAGTCCATACGTTAAAGGTTAATCTCACTTTTATAGACCTGAATTTCTACACATTCATCAGACATGTGCATTAGTTAATTTTATTTTTTGTTATAAAAACTGAGATGGATGGGTGAAAAAATTGTTAATACTTTCTGATATTTCAGGGTAATAGAAATATGACTATTTCATTGTATTCCCTATACATAACTATCCTTCATGTAAAAGTAATTAAAGCTATCCCTGTACCAGGCCGTGAAGGCCCATAGGGTTGTGAGACGTTGAGAATCCCACATTATCTAGACAATCGGCTCAAAGATGGCAGTACGGTTGTCAGCCTTACGCACCGGCCTCGCTTTACTCCCCAAGAAAATTATTCTTTACTCATTTCTGTTAAGAGGCTGAGTGAACCCCAGTGCCATAGTGCGGCTGGAAGGATTAGGTCAATTGAAAAAAATCCAATGACCTCATTAGGACTTGAACCCGCAACCTTCCGGCTTGTAGCATAGCCCCTCAACCAACTATGCTACCGTGTGCCCCCAACTATCCTTCATGTATATTCTGAAAACACACCAAGATATGGATCTGAAAATCAGACCCTGCTTTACACTGCACATAGCCAAACAGAGCACTCTGTTGACAGCCCTTATCAACCACACGTATTTATGTAACAGGTAAGTGTTATTGTGAATTCATTTCTGGGGAATACAAATAATTTTCAATGTCATCACAAAATGATTTATCCTGGAGCTAATTTAATCATGAGCCACATGAAGATGAAGAGTGTTCAGCTCACCTGTGGTTGCTCCACCACTTCTTGTTTTTCGCCGAGTGCTGATGTCAGTATCATGGTGCATAATTCTGTTTGCTCCACCTCTGGTGCTGATGTTACTTGCCCCTATAGCAGCCTGCTTGTTAGTGGCAGTGTTCACTGTAACAGGTGGTGGTGAGCCTCGGGCAGATTTTAACCCAGAGCTGGAGGCCAGACCTGGGTTGGTTTGGCGGACAGATCGACGCTGCTGCTGATTCTGATGTTGGTGCTGCTGAGGAGGTCCTACATTGATGCTACTATGCTTACTGACTGCACCCAACCGATGATTTGAACGAGCAATCCAAGCACTATTGCTACTGCTGCTCCTGAAAATGCCCCCAACAATGGTAGAATATAAAATCAAAATAAACTTAAGACACACATATGTAACAGCAAAAATCATATAAATGCACTTATTTTATAAACTAGCAAGTTGACAGTCCTTCAGCTGATAAAAAAGTTACACACCTTTTACGACATGCCTAGATTCATTACAACATTTATGCCACTGCATCCAATCCTGTGTTTGTTCAATCAAGCCAACAGCAGCATACCCTATTCTTTACTATCCTTCCAAAGCGGCCTCCGTAGTCTAGGTGTAATGTTCCCACCTCATGACTCAAGGTACGCGGGTTCAAACCCGGCGGAGGTCGTGGAATTTTCAAGGGCGGAAAAATTCGGGGAACAAGTTCTCTGGGAGGGACTTTAAGCCTTGTGTCCCGTATCGTAGATTTACGGCACATAAAAGATCCTCATGTCTCTAGGAGACCTCTGAGCAAAATTAGGCAAAAGTTTCCCACACAAGTAGTTTCCAATTCCTCCGGTAGATGGGGGAAGTATCAGGGACCACTGCCAGAGAGGGCCGCCCTCGCTGGCAGAATGGGGCTGATAGCAAGCACCAGTACTGGAAGGGCATGGCAACTAGTAGAATATTAAAGGGGGACGCACAATAGATTAATAACTATCAATTAGTTCAGAAAGAAAATATTTGGAACTAATTCCTGGTAAGCACTCCATAGATTCACTGCAAAAAACAGCTATCCTGGGAACATCACACATACTACAGAAAGTGCTACAGTGCGAAGTTTGTAGCCTGAGTGGTGAGGTGCATCACTGGTTCAAGAAAAGGAATACCAGGAAATAAACCTGTGACACGAGATGATGATGATAATAATAATAATAATAATAAATACTATTCTTCCATCTATGCCTAGGTTTGCAAGATGTCATCTCTCCAGGTTTCCTGACTAAAATTCTGAATGCATTCATTCTTCTTGATATGAATACTACTATAAGAAACCTGTGATGACAAGATTGGTAGGACACGCCATTTAAGTATTCATCAATAATTGGGTAAATCAATTTTCTATTGAGAAATATGTTACTTCAAACTGAGCAAAAAATGGGCATAATTCATATGCCTTTTGCTTGCAAACTTAATAAATGAAAGCAAAGTTGTATTAATCCTTTCCAGTCATTGCATTTAGAAAAATTTCCACAGCCAGGTTATCTGGGGATTTTAAATGCCTGCTGAGCCACTAAGTGAACTGTTTTGCCTGAAAAGTTGGTGCAACAAAGGCATAAAGTTATAAAGCCAAATGTGTCCTTACATTTTCAATTGTCCAATTCTTGGGTAAACTCAAAACTGATATAATATGTCAGTGAAATGGTGGCAGTCATCAATATCAGACACACAGAGTCATAGTCTGTCCGTCACGGAAAGAACTATTCTTGAAATGGTTTTCAGAGTATGGTAAGTTACACGCATCACCTGTAAGTTTTCTGTAATTTGCAATTATATTGTGAATGTAACCAGTGTCATTTTTAGCTAATGCAAATAATCTGATGCCCCACTTCGTTGATTTTTTTTTATTTATAAGTTTCGAGAATTATTTTGTGCTTGAACCCAACTGTTGATTCATCTATGACAATGTTTTTACCCAGAACAAAATTTTTCTGAAATTCTTTCTCTATATTTTTTATCACCCCATGTACTTTACTGTATTTCTGAGGGCCTGACCACTTTATTCGGTGGCATCATTTCCCCTTGTCACATCTTCCCACCCACCAACATGCAACGACATTTGTTTTGTTCTCACTCTCACTTTCCAACATTTCATTGCTCAATCCTTTACTCCCAGTTTCTCCTTCAATTTCCAAATTAATCTCATCATCATAATCAATATCGAGTTCTTCACTTTACATATCACTACTAGATTCTTCATTCATATCACACAAGGGATTATATCTAGTTTCTTCAATCCAGAGGGCCGTGGTTCGGCTGAATGTAAAAGCATTCTACTAACACATGACATGCTGTAATATATAAATGGCATTTGTTCCTCAAGAAGTTCAAATTATGATTTCCAGATGGCAGAAGGAAGCAGATAAAACATTCATGCATGCGTTGGTGTAGTCTACAGTGCCAACTAGTGATGTATTCATTCATCTGTAATCTGTCAAGACGACAGGTCCACAGTCTCTTCCAAAACAGTTCCTCCACTTGATGCGATACAGAGCTTTCTCCTTCAAATGAAAATATCCTCTTCTGTCCCCAATGTCATCCAGCATCTTATTACGTCTTCTTCCTCATCTTCTGGTCACTTCTATCCGCCCCTCTGTCTTTCCTTCAATAACTTCTTTTAGAAGGCAGTTACCGTGTAAGATATGACCAATCCAATTAGCCCTCCGTTTTCTTATTTTGTGTAGGCCATTCCTCTGCTCACTGACTCTAAATAACACTTCTTCATTTCTCACATAATCGGACCAACTGATCTTCTCAATCCTTCTCCAACACCACATTTCGAAGATTTCCAGGTGTTTCTGATCTACTGCCATAAGTGTCCAAGTTTCAGCCCCATACAAAGCGATGCTCCAAATGTAGCATTTCACTAGTTTCTTTCTCAAATTTAAGTCCAATTTGCTGGTAAAAAGATTATTATTCTTGCTAAATGCAGCTTTTGCCATGGCAATCCTAGATTTAATTTCACACGTACATCTTCCATCACCTGTTAACAAGCTACCCAAATATTTGAAACATTTCACATTCTCCAGTTGTTTTTGGTCTATCTTTATTGTGACTGGGGTTGGTTGTCTCAAAACTTTCATTACTTTTGTTTTTTTCACATTCATTTCCATGCCATAGCACCTTCCAATTTCGATTAGTCTATCAACCATACCCTGTAGCAGTTTCTTCCTTAGCCATTAACACAAGGTCATCTGCATATTTCACAGTTTGAATAATTTGCCCTCCTAATCTGAAGTCTGCAAGCCCGTCCAGAGCTTCTTTGGTAAGGCATTCGCTGTACAAGTTGAACAAAATTGGTGATAAACTGTATCCTTGTCGAACTCCTCTTCCAGTCTTCACACTTCTTGTCTCCCCTCTGTCCAGTAGCACTCTAACTTTCTGATCCATGTACAATTTGCTTCACGCCAATCGATACCTGTTTCCTTTAGGATCTGCATTAATTTGGTCCAGTTTACAAGGTCAAATGCCTTCTGGCAGTCTATTAGCAAGCACACAGTTCTTCATCTATCTCCAAAGTTCGTTCTGCTATAGTTCTCATCATCCCAATTGCATCACTGGTTCCTCTTCCTCTTCTAAATCAAAATATGACAGCAGAAACACAAAAGAAACTTTGTCAGTAGTATATCAACATTTGTCCATGGAAGCACTGTCACCATGTCAATTACATATCGATGTTTGACTGGAAAGGGTTAAATCAATTGTATTCATTCTACAGAATGTTTTTGACTTGTTTAACAGACACTGCTGATTTTGATATAAAAATGATAAACATTACACAGTAAATACAACTATTCATATATTTCTAGGTTTATATTAGAGTATAGCTACATGTTTCAAAGATATTGAATAATTTTCAAGCTGTAAATTTCACAACAAAATAAACTGACAGTAATACTGCATACACAGTTTAGAAGTAAAATGTCTAAAACCTTTTCAATCTATTATGTGAATCCACATTTACAATTTATGCCATTAATAAGTCTGAACTTCTGACAAGATTCATTTCCTGATATATTATCTTTATGAAATCAAATACATGTTACCATCCAACACTTCACCAAGGTACCAAAACATGTCTGTGGAACTTCACGTCCAACAACACCAACAGAAAGTGAGTACGAGATAGCCATAAACATCACAATAAAACAATGTGGTTAACTACTCACTCACGGAATTCAGCCCTCCTTGAGAAGTTGCCAATTGTGTGGCTACTCAAGAACTTCCCAGTATTTTATGTAACTTGAAGGTTCATTACAGTGTTCACAAGAGCACTCTACTTGTCCCTATCCTGAGCGAGTTCAATTAGTGGTTAACTACACAGTGCTTACAGTAACCCACATCACCATATTGTATGTCTAATGTTAGGGGGACTTTTAAGGTTTTTTGGTTTTACACACATGACCCATAAGTAATTATTTTAATAAGGTATACCCCCAGGTGATAGTCTTGTAAGACTGAAAAATGTCAGGGTCTCTTAACACAGCCTACTTAAGCAACAAACGAGACGAGGGGATATCTGAAAAGTAAAGATACAAGTCCAGTAAAAATGCAAGGGATTTTTTTCTCCCCAGAAATGGCAGTGCTGCGTGAGAGATGGGAACCATATGACAGGACTGAGTTCACTGGCCACAGTCATGGAAACATCTTGCTCACAGTGTATGTTTAATATGGCCATGTAAGTCCAAAATCCCGCCAAATGTCAGGTTCATGCAGTAATTTGATTTCTTCATGTGAAAGGAGAAACTGCTGCTGAAATTCTTCGCCAACTTGTTTCTCTTTATGGTATGAACAGGCAAAACATGGCAAAATGGTATCATGAATTTGAAGTGGGAAGAAGCGATTTTCATAATGAAATAAACAGCAGAAGGTCATCTGTTATCACTGATGAAATCATCTGAAAAACTGATGAAAACATTTGTGCTGACAGACGTTTAACCATCAATGAACTTCATCAACACTGTCCAGAAGTGTCAAGAACTGCTCTTCATGTCTAAGAGGGCAGGCAGATTTCTAACAAGCTGGAATAAAAAAAATTCATTCCCAGGCTCACTAAGTGCACTGCAATCAATGGTGACTGTTGAAAAGTAAATAAAGGTGTGTGGTAAAAGTGCTACAAGTGAATCCCTCCATAAATGCTTTACAAATATTTTTTGGACCTTGTATCTTTACGTTCCGGATATCCTTTGTACTTGAAGGGTAAATTTCATTTGATTTTAAGTCTGAACTTATATGTTGTAGTATTACAGGTAGAATGATCAGCAGGGCAAAGTTTAGCACCATCACCTCAAGCAACACATGGAATGCAACCAACCGATTACAAACACAGACAGCAACAATAACTTTGTGTATTAAACAGATACAACTGAAGATACACTGCATACTGAATTCTAAGATGGAATCTTATAACAATCTATTGACATTCACCATTTAAGAGATGTAATACTGTAACATATACTGTATTAAGTTCAATAGTTATTAACAGTGAGAACCGTAAATGTAGAGCCATATAATACTGTCACGTGTCGGGTGTTTGTAACGCGACAAATAACTTCATGCTGTCTTGGATGTAGCAAATTTATTGTACACTCGCTCTTACACTTACACAATTTACAGTTTCCCAATTACTGCCATCTGCAGTATCACAATTACTTCTCCTGCTGTAGTCACTGCCATTCACTCGATACAACTTAACAACAACCGGTGGCTGCTGGACTTCACCTCATCTCTTCAAAGACTGGAAACAGACTGCTAATGCTCAACTAACTCCGGTAAATGCTAGACTGCAACTGCACTCGGCAATTGCTAGACTTCCACTCGCTCCTTAGGCATTCCAGTTTCCCTTATAAACCCTCAGCCAGACAGCGGAAAACGCACCTCGCTTTCCTGTTGCCTAGCAATAGTCACTGCACACTCGCCTGTTGTGCGACGTCACAGGCTAGCAAGGAGGGGTGTTTACCAAGCGTTGCATAGTGATGGAACAAGTGGGGGTATGTGATATAATTCGTGGGAACGCAGAGTTCACATGACCCCTGCTTCCTGTTGCGCCATCCACGTTACAATATATTGAAAACATCTGCCACTGTAACTCTCACATGGTTTATAAAATTTCAGCCTTTTTTGGTTTGTGTAAAATATATAACTGCAAAAGGATGTTATTGAAATATGTAAATAGACTATAACAAACACCCAACAGTAAGACTGTGCTGCCAAACTGGATATGGTGGCAAAGTTGCCCCACTATGCAAGGAGTCACTGGCAGAACCATCATGATCAACTTACACCACAACCTCAATAAAGAAAAAGGGGCTACAAGGTAAATCCAGCCAAGAAGAACATCATTCATACACTGAAAGAGCTGAGAGAAAGTCACATCCATACACAACACACAGGCCATGCTACATCCAGAAATGGCTGCACTGCCTTCGTAGATTGATTCCCCCTTCCACGTACAATCTCTTCTTAGTGCCCACCACCCTTTATTCTTCTTCTTTACATATTTTCATGTAAATCTATTTCACTCTTTCCTTCTGTTCTTCATCCACCTCCCCTCTTATCCAAACTCTCCTCCTCCTCCTCCTCCTAGCTCTGCAATTTCCTCATTTCCTTCTTCTTCTTCTTATACTTTTTGTTTTACTGAGTTACTAAAATGTATTTCTACTGTATTTTATGTTGAATTCCTGGTACCATTCTGTTCTTTCAGTTTTTCCTCTCAAAACTGTCCCCCCCCCCTTTCAGGGCTACCAGTTCCCACTGTCTCACTCACTAAATTAGCTCTAGTTCACCCTTCCCCATATCATAGAACATTTCCAACTGGCTCACTTTTCTACCCTGAAGATGTGGGAAGCAGGTTCCTCTTAATTGTTTGCAACAAATCCCACATTCATATGGCACCATGCAAAAAAACATTAACATCAATGTAATCCTTCACTGTTCAACTTCTTTATGTGGACAATTCAGAGAGATCCTCTATCCTACAACAAAAATTAAGACTGGTATATATATCTTACTTTGTAAATTCTTCATCTCTAGAACGGCTGTTCGGTCTGCTTTTTGGCCGTGGAGGGGAACGCTCATCTGCACCAACTCCAGGAGCTCCCCGTCCCTTCACAGCTATTTCAATCAGTGGCTCATCATCTGAAGAATCTACATCCACCAATGTGCTAGATGCTGCTATACCTGCTGGGAAGCAATCACAAATATGATCTGCATGATGTATCGAATTCTGGCTCAAAGAAAAAACAATAAAAAAACAATAAACGAAAAAAAAAGTATTACAGTAAAATCCAAGTTATTCTGTTTCTAAGCATCTGGAATTCTAACCCATCTGGTAAAAATTTAAAAGATAATTTACTATACCTAGTAAGTTATTCAAAAACAAATTTGTGATGAACTTACATTCAACTGCCATGCCACAGTTCTCCCAGCCACCACTAGCAGCACTACCAAATATTCTTCCTCACACAGCTGCCATGACAGCAGAGGATACTTGAGTATGTGATCATGTCACAGTACATGTACCCAAATCTTTCACCCATCAGTCTGACATGTCATCTAGCAAGACTCCTATGCCAGAACTACAGTGAAAATGTGTTGTCTTACTGTACTGGATTTCTTTAAGAGTTTACATCATGTGACCAGTATATCACATTCCCCATACATGCTAGGCAAGATGGAGTTTACTGCATTATGTTTAATTCAGAGCACACAAATATAAGCAGAATTACTGAGTAAAAAGTAGGTATCAGTATACAGAAGTATGGAGATCTAATTCACATCACAGATAAAACTGCACCGCACAGGGATACACAGTGTGTCCAATATATGTTAGGACTGATTTTCTTAAATTTTGCCCTGCAATGTCATCTGTTGGAGAGTTGTGGCATTAAGATTCTTGAAGTTTCAGCTGTGGCTGTCTATAATTTCAAAGAGCAAGCATCACATGTTCTGACCTTGAATTTAACAGTACTGTTCTGATGCTCGTTGGAAAATGGCAGCTGAACAGAGGGCCAACATCAAATTTTGTTTGAACTTAGGCAAAACAGCTGATGAAGCATACAAAATGATGAAAGTGTATATGGTAGTGATTGAGTCGCTTGAACATTTTTCGATGGTATGCTATATTTCGTGATGGCAGGGAGGACACTGAAGACGCTCCACGTACATCAAAGCCAAGAACAAGTCGCACAAAAGAAAATGTGAAAAGTGATCGAAATCCTTGCACCAGACAGATGTGTTTCTGCATGCTTTATAGAGGAGCTTTTGGGAATACCAAATAGTACTGTGCATAAAGTTTTGACCGAGAATTTGGGCAAACAGAAGGTCAGTGTGGAGTTTGTACTGCACACGCTGTCAGGCGATGAAAAACATGCCAGAGTGGAACACTGCAAAGACATGTTATGGTTGGCCCAAAGTGATACAAAATTTACAAAATCGATTGTTACTGGTGATGAGACATGGTGTTTTCAATATGTGCCTCTCACAAAGCGGCAAAGTGCAGTGTGGTTGTGCCCAAAGAAGCCAAAACCAAAGAAAGTGCGCATGTAAAAGAGTCGAAGAAATACACTGCTAACCATTATCTTTGATTCCAAAGGAATCGTTCACAAGAAATTTCTGCCAGAAGGTCAAACAATGAATTCTGATTATCATCTCGGAGTCCTTAATCGTTTGTGGGTAAGAATTCTTCGAATTCGACCTGAATATCGAGAGCAAACTCAAGATCGTGTGCGATTTCTTTGGCCAGAAAAGGGATCACAGTCCTTGATAATCCTCCACATTCGCCAGATTTGGCTAAAACAGATTTCTAGTTGTTCCCAAAAGTTCAGTTGGCGATGAAAGGAGACCATCACAACACCATCCAGGACATCTAAAGGGAATGTACCGCAGTTTTAAATGCGATTCCACAAAAGGAGTACAGTGACTGTTTTCAAAAACTTTTCAATCGATTCCAGCTATGTATTGATTCAGAAGGAAACAATTTTGAATAACGAGTGAAATTTTGAAAATAATTCACATCTTGTATTTTTAATGAACACAGTCCTAACAGAACCTGGACACACTGTGTATGTCTATATGTGTTTATAGCTTACTACATTCCTGTAATCATTTGTGATCAGTATTTAAAGATAAGATGACAAAGTTTTATCAACTTATTGATGTTTGAGAGCGTGAAACTAAAACTAACTCCAATGAGTGAAATTTTCAGGGCCGTGCCATAGTTCAAGCGGTTAGTCGCTGGCTTCCTACTGCAGCAGCCCGGGTTCAATCCCGGGTGTGGTCGAGTGGGATTTGTGGTGGACAAAGTGGCACTGGGGCAGGTTTTCTCTGAGTACTTCAGTTTCCCCTGCCAATCTTCATTCCACCAATTGCTCCACAATCATCCTCACCTATCATCTGGGGCTGGTACAATAGGCCAGAAGTGGCCGCAGTACAAGGGACTTAGTCCCATCCCACTAGCAATAAAAAAAATCCCCATTTATTTGGCTTGGCTCTTGTGACCACTGCAATATGGCTTGTATCCTTTAATCCAAGAGTTTTGAACACCATTCACCAAAACATGGCTTATGCTGTACAGTTCTTTAACAACCCAAACTCTCTTTGGGTGAAATTATGATATTCTCTCTAACAGCTCCCCACACTATTGATATCCATATCATCATCTAAGTTTCCTAAAGCTGCGAACCTATTCAAGATTTTAACCTGACACTCTTCTCTGCTCCCCCCACCCCTCCTTGTTTAGTTTCATGAGAATGAAGCTCTCTGTATCAAATTACTGTGTTGGTCATTTACTTACTGCCAGTCTTCATAAGTTCTTCCAAAACATAATGCTCTCTCCAAATTACATGGTGTAAAAACCAAAAGTCAGTTCACTTTACTGTCACCATCACCTCAAATCCAACATCTTTCAGAATTATTTAGATTAAAACAACATTTATTTTTTGGTCAGATTAAGGCTAATAAATGTAGTTAACACTGGCATGTCTTTTTGTTTGAATTCTATATAAACCCATTTAAGATTCTTTCGATTTCAGGTACAGAAATATTGTACCCAATGCAAACCTGAAATGAGGATGTGACAGTACAGTATTTTGGCACAAAATCTCCAATTTTTACCATAAAATCAAGCCAGAATTCTTAATATATTTTACTGTGTTTCAGCCTTATGGCCATCATCAGGTATTAACACAATTCACACTCACCTTCAGCTCATCTGCTGTCCTTGCCTACAATGGCCAGTGTTCTTATTTGGGAATAATTTTCCAGTCTGAATCACAATAGTCAAAATAAGGTAAAACTGTCTCTGTGCTTAATTAAACATGTATAGCTCAACCTTTGTTGACCTCAGTACGAGACAGTAAAAATAAGAGCGTATACAAATATACTCACAGTGTATGGTATAAAAGTAAAAAAGTAAAAGTAAAGGTATCCCTGTAACAGGCCGTGGAGGCCCATAGGGTTGTGAGAGGTTGAGGCTCCCACATTTTATAAACAATCGGCTCACAAATGGCTGTGAGGTTGTCAGCCTTATGTGCTGGCCGCCCTTTACCCCCAGGAATATTCCTGGTACTTATTTCTGTTACAGGATGAGTTGACCCCAGGGCCATAGTGCAGTTTAAAGGGTTAGGTAAATTGAAAAAATCCCCCTCATCCGTGTACTCCCAATGTATGGCATATTGATACAAATAACTGTGTTGATGGAGCCAAAAAACAAAAATTGTCTCACACATAATACGGTGTGATACAATATTCTTAATGTGTTATTTACCTCTCCGGCTCTTCAATGCAGCAGAAGTCCTGGTGCCCTTATGGTCAGGATGCTGAGGATTCCCTGCTAATCTTTTGGCTGGAACATCTTCCAGCCCCATGCATGCTTTAATCAGTTCTGCTGCGTTCTCTGAGCATTTCCTTTTATTTGGCCTCTGTTCCTCTACTGTAGTTACACTTGACACTACACTGCTCTCAGATTCTTGACGCTTTCGTTTGCTTATATTTGTGGAATTACTTCCTCTGGACAGCTGTGCTCCTAAATTTGTGGGGCTTGGTTTGGATGTATTGCGGGGAGATTCTGAATGATCTTCCTTTGAACCTGGACCAGCTGGGCTTGATTTTGGGGTATGCTTCTGGTCAGGGCTATGAGTATGACTAATGCTTCTCTGACTTGACCTAGTATTCCTGGTGCTTAGTGAACCACTTCGCCGAGCCTCAGTATCTGATGGAATCTCAATCAACAACTGTTCTAGCAAAGACTTGGGACGAGCAGAATGGTGTTGAGATTTGCTGCTACGAGCTACATAGGTGTGATCGTCATCGTCGTCATCATCATCATCCTCATCATCATCATCATCATCATCATCGTCGTCGTCGTCGTCATCGTCATCCTCCTCATCATCATCACCTTCACCATCACCGCTACCCAACCCCTCTAGAAAGTGCCCAGATGACATGTCACTTCCACCACCACTGCCCACCTCAACACAGAGTGAGTCATCTGCTTCCAACCTGCCCTCCAATAAGTCCTGCTTTCTTTTCCTTTTCCGCCTGTTGCTAATGATACTTTCATCTTTCCTGTTATTATTCCGTGACAGAGTGAGATCAATTTCATCATCATCAAGAGCTGCAGGGGAAGGCGTATCTTCTCGGTGCTTTTCAGGGTTGGAGTAGGTATATAGGGGTGGTGTGATGCGTATTGGTTGAGGATCTTCTAATGTTGGTGAGCCTGGGCACCCATCTCTGTCTTCAACAGAGTGCCTATCTCCTGAGGCAACTACAGTGTTTGATTTCTTGGATTCCCCAATAGATGTCATAATTGCAGATAAGTTGGTGCACACTGTGGGTTGAACAGACAGAGGTAAAGACTGGTTGGTATCAGCAATTACAGAATTGCCTGATGAGGTTAAAATACTTGAAGCAGATGAAATAGTAACAGTAGCAATTGTTGAGGCTCCAGTAAATGACGAAGAGCCCATTTTGGGCACGAGGACTTTAACAGGAGAAGGAGGAAGAGAAGATGGAATAGTGACAAGTTTTATGGGAACCGTTTTTGTTACTGAAGGGGCACATGATGTACTGGATGAGCTAGCTGGTGCCAACAAAGACACACTGACAGAGGTACTGCTAGATCCCAGACTGGAATCTCCGCTGCCAGAAATCTGTGATTGCTGCATATTACCACAGTTAACAGCTTCTCTACTGATCACTGTGCCTCTTTCAGCAGATGATGCCAAATTTTCACTGACATTACTATTATCTGATAACTGCATACTATTTTCATTCAATGATTTCCCATCCTTCTCCTGATCATCAAAATTACATTTTTTGTTACTACCCGATGTTCCATGTGTGTCTATTCTGTTCTTCTTCTGTGTACTCAAAGCATTAACTAAACACCTATCACTGTCTGCACTGTTATCACCCTCAATCTTCTTCTCAACCAAACAATCTGACTTTGAAGTTATTCCTGGAGGTGGTTCAGTATTTTCTATGGACTGGTTTATAATGTCTCCAGATGATGTTAGATTTGAATTTGCTGAAGATACCGATGTCACCGTTGAAGGCACTGCAATAACTTTCTTATTAGAGTCTGCAGACTGGCAACATTCATTGTCCTTTTCTTCCTTACGGCAAGGACTTTCACCTTGATTGGGAGACTTCTCTGAGAGTGCATCCATTGATTCAATACCAGAGTCCTCCCCTTGGGTATTGCCCTGTTCTCCTGTCCCAACCCCAGACGGACTTTCAGCACCACCCCCACCACCTCCATTGCCACCACCCTGGGTTTCAGCCTGGTTTCCTCCTGATACAACAGTATCACCAACTGCTGCAGTCAAAAAGTCACCAGAATTCACATTTTTTTCTTTGTTCTCTATTAATCTTGTGGTGACTTGGTCCACAATACCGCACTGTTTCTTCCGTGGAGGTGGGCCATCCTCCAATAGTCTCTGCTTCACCTTTGCTTCCGATACATCTAAGTCTCCTACAGGAAGAGATGTAGGTGAGGAAGACTTGGCTAGAGCAAGACGGTCAATAGATTTGGGATGAGACTCTGAATGCTTAGGAACATCAGAAGCTGTTGCTACCATAGCAATAGCCTGAAGCTTGGCAACAGTGACTACATTTCTTGAACCTTTACACTGTTCTATGCTTTCTAATTTCCTCTTTGCTATGGTACTATGATTTGGAAAATCTTTTTGCTGAGAATGTTCTTGTTTCTTGGTAACACAGTTTTCTGCTACAATAGCCTTATAGGTTTCAACTGACCGAGGAATCCTGTTCACATTTGCTTGCAGATTAATCTTGCTACGGTGAACAGATGACACGTCATTTGATAGTTTCTTTAGAACTGATGTCCTATTCACTTGTGTTCCTATCTTACTCTGCTGTAAATCCACCGCCTTTCTTGATCCTCCTTTGTTCCTTTCTATGACATGAGATGTAGAACTATGCTGCTTTTCAGCAGCAACCCACGAGGAAGATGAAATGCTTGGGCTAGATGGAATAGTGGATGATGGCACTGGATGAGAAAGAGACTGCTGTTTTAGTGTACCAGCTGTCGATCCGCTAGGGATATTGGTGTACGAGTCCTGAGCATGTTCACTGTGAGGGTCCACAACTGCAGCTGTGTTGCTAGATGCCACCTGGGAATTCCCTCCCATTATAACGGGACGCGATTTCACTTTCATGGATAATCCACCCTGAGAATCTGAAAATAATGTATCAACAGATAGTAAGGTTCATTATCAACAATATTAGACAGTGTAATGTAAAAACAGAGCTGTTTCATCATCTTTACAGCAATCTAGATAATCCAGAAGCATGCATCATCCTGTACCAGTAAAAAAAACAGCCTACAGTTCAAACTGCAAAATTCATTTTCAAATATTCGCATTACACTATTTCATCTAACAAAAGATACTCTAACTTCACAAATGTGTTGTTCAGTATGAATTTGATGACACAATCCAAGAGTTATGGATGCTACTGACTGCCAGAGTACAAACTGTACTGACCTAGAGGAATTTATTTTGATGTATTAAACAAATGAATAGCCATGTTCAAAGAGACCTACAATCCTGTTAAATATGAAAATTTTAAAAAACATTGCAAAGAATTATCAGATCAATACTTCAAAAATACTCAGACAGTAAACAGTGAAAACAAATATAATATCCTGTTTTGTAAAACTTCTGTCTTCCTGAAAGTTCATAATATTATAGTTAACAGATTTTGGGTTTTGCATGCAAAAAGAAAACTTAAAAACCAAATAAGTTCTAACTATTACCCCACCCAACACCCACTACTGATTTATGATTTTTAAAATTTGTTCATCCCACTGAAGACCACCACCACCTTTGTTCTTTAGAATTTCCTATGTACATGTGGGACACAAATAGTCAAACAGTGATGCCTGACACTGGACAGTAGAAATTATTAGTTGATGTTTAGTGATAAACAGGATTCCCTTTGTATTGGTAAACAAGGTGATGAAAGAAAGCATCTCAGCAGAGAGCAAGGTGGAAAACAAGAGAGAAATTACAGAATGATAAATGTGATCAGGACAGTTCTTATGGAAACAGTCTATGGCGAAAATCAGACTAGCCTCCAATAGAAAACTGCATGAGATGTGACAAATTTTCTCATTCTAATACCAGGGAGTGAATAAATTCATTTGCATGCACAAGTTCATCTCACAAAACATAAAAGTAAAAAAGTAAAGCTATCCCTGTAACAGGCCGTGAAGGCCCACAGGGTTGTGAAACACAGAGGGTCCCACATTATCTAGGCAATCAGCTCAAAGATGGCGGTAAGGTTGTTACAGCCTTATGAGCCAGCCACGCTTTACTCCCCAGGAAAATTATTTAATTAATTCCTGGTACTCATTTCCGTTAGGGGCTGAGTCGATCCCAGGGCCATAGTGTGGCTGGAAGGATTAGGTCAATTCTCACAAAACATAGAGTACATATATACTTAAAATCTCTCAGAACACATCACATTCTCACATAATAGAAGCATATGAAAAAATAGGACTTCTTATTAATATAAATCATGTATATAATGTCACAGAAGCACACACACTGTTTGACTCAGCTTACATCTGCTAGCAGGAATACTTGTCTTACATGCCCCATTACCAACCATTAACCTAATGCCAATATCAATTTCATGGATTTTTGTTTTCTTGGGACTGGGAATCTTTGCTCATGAAACAGCAAAAGCATTTTTCACCTGGATTTTTCTTAAAATAAAATGTACCTAAATAAATTATTTATTTATTATGGCAATCTTATGGAAGTACATTCCCACTGTAAAATTTTCTATCAACACAGCTGTGGCAATGCACCATTATTTTAAGAATTGAACACCTGCCAAGTACTTAAACAATACTGGCCACAATGTGTACACTGTAAAATTGGTTATGATCATTTGGCACACAAGTCACAGATGGAGAGAACTGAAGAACACCATAACAAAGAATATGCAGTGAGTTTTCTAAATAATGTCATCATGAAGTACATTTTAACATTTATGTTATGCCATCAAACTCTTAAAATATGCTATCAAATTAGGTGTGATATTCTTCAGCAGTACAAAAGTAATAACAAGTATAAAAAATATGGGAATTTCATCTGTGGCACAATTAGGAACTCAAAGCTGAAGTAAAGAACCCCAAGTTTTATAGCCTCCTGCCTGATGGCTCTACTGGTAAGTCTAAAATTGAGGAAATACGTGAAAGTTGGTAAAGCTATTTCAGTAAACTGTTGTGTTAAAAGGGCACCACAGAGGAAAGTTACTTATCAGCAGCATAAGATGAGTTTAAGAGTCTCAGACTTCACAGGAATAATAATCAACGGATAGTAGGCCCTGGCAAAGACTGAGCTGCCAACATCTACAAACATTAACTGATTACCAACAAGAATCAGGAAGTTGTAAACATTTTAATTCCTATGTGCTGAGCTGCATACAAATTACAATTACATAGTTCATTATGTTTCCCAAGTGGATGACTTATTTATTAATCACCAGGGCCCAGATTTTGATAACATGTCATCTTTTTTTCCTTCTATCCTATGCAATGCTCTTAAATATATAAATCTCGGATATGAGCTGCCGGTTACAGAAATGTAAATTTTAGAGGTAATTTTCTGTCATTCTTTTGTTTTAAGGTCATATTCTCATTTTGGGGGTAATTTTTGGTGCTTTTAAGGGTATTTCTTGTCATTTTTGGCCATTTTAGGGAACTTTTCTTCATATGTTTTCTGAAATGTGAGTAGTATGGAAGCAAAGTGTTCTTTCTCTTTCTCCTAAGCACCCTCTACAAAGGCCATAGTATACAATAATAGGTTGTAATCCTGGCCCATCCTTTCCGTTCATTTCGCGGAAGTGCTGACAATACATATCATACAACAGGGTATGGCGATGACTACTCACACTGCGGGTACGGCGATGACTACTCACACTGCGGCTCTTTGTACAAAGCAATTTGCTTAGTTACACATGTTTCTAGTCAGAATCTCTTGCTTCATATGACATTGTTGTTCAATAAAACTCCTTCTGTCTTCAGTACCTCGCCCTTAACCGTACAGATAAAGATACAGTTGACGAAAGGTTCTCGGTGAGAAAAGTTCAGTTTTGTGTTGCACTAGAGTGATTAATTTGATCGCGATGCCAAAAGCAAAGCCAACTAAATCGTATCATTTAAAGCAATTTGTAGCTGAGTTTCTCAAGATCTATTTTCAACTGATGGTGACATTTTATACTGCAAGATGAGTGACACAAAAGTAGTGGCAGAAAAAAGATTCATGGTACAACAACATATCGGCCGTGACAAGCATATACGAGCAGTGCAAATTTCGAACAAAAAGAAACCTGTTCAAATTTTACTGCAAACAGTGTTCATCTGGAGGTGGAAATAAGTCATCAGATATTTTCACAGATCTGTGTGATGCTCTGGCATCCGCAAATATTCTATTTTGGGCTCCAAACAATGGAAAACTGAAAAATTTTCTGGAAGTAAACTGTGGCCGTTCTATCCCGGATGAATCCATACTCAGGAAGAACTACCTTTCCCAGTGCTACAACAGTATCCTGGAAATGATTAGGAATAAAGTGCATGGGAAGGTGATTTCCGTTTCCATTGATGAGACCTGTGATATGGAGGCTAGCCACATGGCAAACGTCATCATTGGAACCTTGGAAACTGGCGGACCAGGTGAAATGTTTCTGCTTATGAGTGAGGTGCTAGAATCTGTTAATCATTCCACAATTTGTAAACTCTTCAACAGGTCGATGTTTCTACTGTGGCCAGAGGGTATACGACATGACGTCTTGCTTTTTGTGACCGATGCAGCCCCATATATTGTAAAAGCAGGCAAGTAAATAAAGTCGTTTTATACANGTATACAAAATTGGTGCACGTTACTTGCCTAGCTCATGCACCGCATAGAGTGATGGAGGAAGTGAGATCAAAATTTCCTCAAGTGGATGCTCTCTTGTCGAGGACGAAGAATATTTTCATAAAGGCTCCAGCTCGTAAAATGCATTTTAAGTCTATGGCTCCTGGTGTTCCACTGCCCCGGAACCCATCATAACAAGGTGGGGAATGTGGATTGATGCTGCAATTTACTATTGCGATCATTTTCAGGTAGTGAAAAACACTGTAGATTCAATGAAGACGGAGGATGCGAGGGCAATTGAAGCTGCTCAGGAACAGTTCTCGTACATCGAAATGGAAGGACGGCTGGTCTTCATAAAGGCAAATTTCAGTTCCTTGACAGAAGGAATCCAATGTTTGCAGGAGAAAGGAGCAACGCTAGAAGATTCGCCCCCTCTGGTGAAAAAAATAGCCATTGATTTGGAGAAAGTGTCAGGGGACATTGGTAAAATGGTGTCAAGAAAAATGAAAAGTGTTCTGGATAAAAACTCAGGTTATGAAACATCATGCAGCATTTCTCGAATTGTCAGGAGAGTCCTTTAGCGCTTTCAGTATTGAAGAACTTACTGCTAGTGATTCGATACACTTCAAGTATGCTCCCACTGTGTCTGCAGATGTGGAAAGGAGTTTCTCTAAGTACAAGAATGTGCTGTCGGACAATAGGCGCTCTCTCATTTTCAAGAATCTCCCCATGTTGACTGTCATCTATTACAACTCTGAATGAGGTAAGACTTAAATGTTGGAATACATACCGTATATGTACATTTGATAAGCGTTCTAACACAACAGAAAAAATTGTATTAAAACATTTAGCTTCAAATTCAATCAATATTGCTTAATTTTCAACATAAAAATGAGGACAAACTTAAAAGAGTAAAGATGAGTTCAGTGTTAATAAAGATTAAAAATACATTTGATTTGTTTCATTCTGGTCTGATACACTAACAATATTACAAGTAATAAAACAATTAGTAGATATTCTGACATATTACATTTTTGGGTCATATTTTAGGTCATTTTTCTGGATCTTTTCAGTCATTTTTTAAATATTTTCAGGTCATCAAAATCCGGGCCCTGCTAATAACTCTTTATCAATTTTAGGGACGTTAAAATGAACTAAGGAATGCTTACTAGCATGCTATCTGCCAAGATTCTAGAAATTCCACATGTTCATAACGTTCTTTGAGTGGTCAATAAAGTTGGGGCTCTTAGAGAACTTGTTATATATTTGAAGTTCTGTGATGTTCATCTGTAATCTACTGCATCACCAG